GTTCGGATCACAACACAATCCTGGTCACGGCACCATGTTAATTCCGTAGGGTTGGAATTAAAGGTTGAATGGTTCGTAAGTTTATTGACACAACCGAGGAGGAAGACGCCGAGGTAAAGACTGACGTCATTTGACTTACGTCATGCTATAGTAAACAATAGTAACGCTTAGCTACTGGTTCTACATGAAAATATACAAATGTAATTACACAAATTGCACATGCGTAGCTAGAAAAATGGTTGGCTTGTCAAACTCCACTTAGTTTTGAATCAAAAAGTCATGAAGATATTATTTTAGTGAATGATCATAAAACTCTTAGATACGAATATCAAGATTTGCTTGGAAATTATAGCACAAAAGGAAAAGAAATTAGCTGGCATAACTTAATTGAAAAATTTTTCTCAAAAAGCACCGTTTAGCACGATCACATATTATGCCCATGTTGAATTATTGACAAAATTCTATCACAATTGACCGTGTTGCAAGTAAATCAATAGTTTTATATTGCTTCGGCACACTCAAAACGTCTACGTAGCTCCACTTACGACACCTCCGAGCAGGCGTAGAGCTACGTACGGCTTCTTGTACGTAGCTTCCCGCGCAAATGTTTTGATAATACCACCGCTAGAGTTACTTCTTCATATCAGCACCTACGCCACACGTAGGTCGCTACGCGTACTTAGCGATGTTTTGATAATCCGGCCCCAGAGCTCGAAATCAAGCTAAAGGTCGCACCGCAGTAAAAATCTTCGAGAAAAAGTATCGCCAAAAATGCAAAAAAAAAATCCCCGAAAGCTTTCTTTTTGTACTCGAAGGGCAAGACAAGGGACGGTATTTCTGATTTGAAAATTGATAAACGAAAGATATTCTCTGATGAGGGCAAGGCTAACGTCCTTAATTAGTTTTTTAGTAGCGTATTCACTGAAGAGGACTTGAAAAGTGTTCCTGCTATTGAGGAGTGCCCAGTTTTGAAATACAAGAAGTTCTCAAGCGCCGCCTGAGCGCTCTAAATCCCAACAAGTCATGTGGACCGGACGGATTCCACCCCAGATTACTCAAAGAGTTAGTAACCGTCCTAGCCGGCCCTTTGGCGTCATTTTTTCGAAAAACTTTGAACGAAGGGATCTTGCCGGTTGACTGGAAAGAAGCCCAAATGACACCATTGTTCAAAAAAGGTGACAAAAGCTGCGCGGGCAACTATCGTCTTATCAGTTTGACAAGGGCCGTTTGCAAAGTAATTAAATCTGTTGTGAGGGATCGATTAATCGAGCATTTGACTGTTAATAATCTCCTATCAGACTGTCAACATGGCTTTATTGCCGGTAGATCCTGCACCACTGACCACTTGGCTACTCTGAATGAATGGACCCGCCTGCTGGACGAAAGAAGGCCAGTAGATAGGAACGCCTGTCGGAGACCACCACTGCCGTGCATCGAATGGACTGTCATGATCCCTTCCCTCAAGAACGTAGCCTATAACACTTTTTGATTGTAACACTATCAGCCGCACGCCACCAGACAGATCACATCCATTGAATTAAATCATTCAGCCAACAGGAAAGTAACCTGACGGAGAATGGCCCAGCATCGCCTGCCAATACGCGAAAAATTTTTACACCACCCGGACGGAGCGCGCCGGAGCCGTCCGTATGTCCCGTGTGTCGAATCAGCCTACGGTCGAACGGCCACGCGTCGTACGACGATAAATTTTGGAACAGAACTATGCTATCTGAAACCTAACCCGATGCTATGAGCTAAAAGTTACGTAATTTAGCGAAGCTGCGAAAGTCGCTCGTCGAAGGACGATAGATTTTGGAACATAACTATGGATTCTGAAACCTAACCCGGGATGTTGCGAGCTAAATGTGACCGTCTGGTGGTGCACGGCAGGATGCTCGCAGTTCCACTGGCTACCTGACGGCAGGATGCTCGCAGTTCCACTGGCTACCTGACGGCAGGATGCTCGCAGTTCCACTGGCTACCTGGGCTGGTTGGTCGCAGTCTGTTGTCCGCTAGTTACAATTCGAGCTGAAGTCAGGGTATGAAGTGATGACTCGATGCAACGTTCAGTGGTGGACAACCATTATTCTCTGGGCTATTTGCTTCAGATATAGTGGCGTAAAGCTTCTAATATATAAAAGCAAGATGATGTCATGGGCTGGTTACTGACGGCATGCTTAATTCGCGGCTGATTGGTGGTCATCCGGAATTACGCTAGGCGTTTCTTTCAGGGTTGATTTGGGCTCAAATTTGGGCTGATAAGATTACAGTATGAGAAGACATGGTTGTAACGACAGAGTGATGATGTCGAAGTCGACAACGGAAAAAGAATTAGGAAATAAATGAGTTGAAATTTTCTAAGCATATTGAAGCTCTTCTTGCTTCAGCAAGTTAATAAAGCCAATCAACGACTTGGACTGATCAGACGCTCTTACGAGTACATAAATGCAGAAGCGACGAAGCTGTTGTTACTTGTTTGTCGCTGTCGTGCGTTCGAACCTAGAGTTTGGAGAGGCAGTGTGGTCACCAAAACTAGAAAAGGACAAAAATTTAGCCGAGAGTGTTCGAAGACGTGCAACAAGGATAATTCCGGGATTAAAAGACAAGTCTTATGAAGAAAGATTATGAAGCTTCCAAGCCTCCGTTATCGACGTCTGCGTGGTGACCTCATTGAAGTATACAAGTATACCCACGGTTTATACAAGGACCCAGAAGGATTACTGAAATTTGAAACAAGAACCAACACCAGGAGCTACGGCTATAAACTAAAAAAACTGCGTTGTAACACATCCATGCGAGAACATTTCTTCTCGCTTCGAATCACCGACACGTGGAACAGCCACCCTGATAGCATCGTAGACGATCCGAGTATGAATGCCTGCAAGAATAGACTAGACGTAGCTATGCAAGAGCATATGTTCAGTCTTGAAATGCCTAGCACCCTACGAACCTTGCTATAAGTCCAGCAGTAATCTCAATCAATTTGTGAGTTATGGAAAGATCGTGTTCATAAGGCCGGATCCCGTGTGATCAAGTCACTAAAAGTACAAGAATCGGCAACAGGCCTATTTCTTCAGTGCCGACATTTTTATTCTATTTTATTCTATGTGGAAAAGACTTCCCGATTACATCGTCGACTCTCCGAGTATAAACGCGATCAAAAACAGACTAGATAAAGCTATGGAAAAATATATGTTCAGACTTGAAATGCCTAGCACCATATCGAACCCGGTGGAAGTCTAGTAGCTATATCAAACTTTCGTCAGTCTTGAAAAGATCCGGTCAAAGGAAATGCTTATATAAAGATCTTCTCTGAACAAGGCACGAAAAGTACAAGAATCGGCGACAGGCCCTATTCTTCAGCATCGTCATCACTATGTTATGTTATCTAGAACAGTAAGTGTAGAACGGCAATAACATTCGTAGCATAACAAGAAGTAACGCAAAAGAACAATAAAAAACAAAGAAATACCTGCTTTTGGGTGTTTTTTGGATCAAACTTTGTCTGCCAGGAGCCCTTGAAGTATATGGCATTCAGGAGCACAAACAAAGAGTCCTTGAGCACGTCGGAGGACAGAAGGTCTTTGATTTGGCCGCCAGTCACCATACTGACGTCGTTGTTGATTTTGTCTGCAGAGCCAACTGCAATGAAGGTTCAGGCTTCATTAACTCTGCAGGGCCACCTTTAATGAAGGTTCAGGCTTCATTAACTCTGCAGGGACATTTTTTATGAAGGTGCAGGCTTCATTAACTCTGCAGGATCACCTGAAATGAAGGTTCAGGCTTCATTAATTTTGCATGGCCATCTGCAATGAAGGTTCAGGCTTCATTAACTCTGCAGGGCCACCTGCAATGAATATTCAGGCTTCATTAACCATTCAGGACCACCTGTAATGAAGATTTAGACTTCATAAACTGAATATAACCAGCAGTTTGCACCTGCAGGTCCAGCAGTTTGCACCTGCAGGTCCAGCAGTTTTGGAACCTGCAGTCTGCACTCTGCAGTGAAGGTTCAGGCTTCGTTATCTCCTCAAAGCTCGTTGCAAAACTGGCTAAAGATTCATTATCTGTGCACGACGACCTACTGCAAAGGCTCAGGCTTAATTATCTATGCAGAGTCGACCAAAAAATAGGTTCAAGTTTAATTATTGTGGGCAGGGTGGCCCAGTGGTTGTGGGCAGGGTGGCCCAGTGGTTAAAGTTCAGAGTACCAAGATTGGCGCAGAGAGGCGTGGGTTCGATCCCAGTTCTGTGCGCCAGTTTCTGGTCAGAATCGGCAAGGAGGCCGGGCGGTTAAGCACAGCAGAATTGTAGCAGTGAGTTGAGAGTTCGAGACCTCAAAATGCTGTGAATGTTCTGCGATGTAAAGAATCGGCGACAGGCCTACGGCCTAATAAATGCTGAAACCGCTATTTATTATATTAAATTATATCTTCAAGTTGACCTGCACATGAATGATTTAAATTTCGTAACCTATGAAGAACAAACTGCAGCAGTTTTCATGGCTTCATTAACTCTACAGAAACCACCGTAATAACGGTTATCTTATTACCTTAGCATCATTATCTCTGCCTAGTCACCTTCATTCCTGCTTCAGGGTCTATTATCTCTGCAATTATTAAAAGGTGTCTGAGCTGAAGCAAAAAGTGAAAGAGTGAATCTGCATTCGCCTTCAATAAGTTCCAGATACACGATGGTTAAAACACGGACAGGTTTACCATCATACATTACAATCGTTAAATAAGGAGTAGCTAACGTCGCAACAGTTTTTAGTGGTCGAGCACTCTAAAGACGAACCATACACTTGGGTAAAAATAAATTGGTCATACTGTCCAAGTATAGTTAGTGACACACTTACTCTCCAAGCGCGAGTAGAGAGTGGACGTAGAACAGATCAGCTCTTTTGCCGGGTCAAACTGGGTCGAGTTCTTCCTCACAAGGGTAAAAAGCGCATCACTGTTTGTCTATATTTCATTTATTTCTCTGAGTGCAGGTTCTGAAACCGTGACATGATAATTTAATAGTATCTTTTTACTGAAAAGCATTCTTACTTGGATCAGAAATTATGTCGAGGATTTGTACGTCGTTGAGTAGGTCAGTGACGCACGGGCGCAGCTGGACTGTGGGGTCAAAGTAGGCGCGGTCGACACGGCGCAGCTCGGGTCCCCCGTTTGTCCCCGACCCCAGCGCGCGCATCCTGGGATACCGTGATAAATTTTAAGGAATCATCGAAGAACAGACTGGGAAGCCATTGGAACGAACTCCTCAAAATTGACTGGAGATCCGAGTTCCTGGAGTTAAACGCCGAAGCAATGTACACCAAGCTGTGGAGAGTATTTGTGCAGGTATGCGTGCGTCACACGCGGGAAAAACGACCACCAAACGGCACATAATTCCGAGGGACAGACGGATCCTCATGAGAAAACGAGCGAACTTGAACAACCAGATAACGGCCGCCTCCAGTAATATGGAGATGCGGAGGATGAAACATCTAAAGGAGAAAATTGAGGAAACTGAACAACAGTCGCATGACTCACACGAGGCCGACCAACAAGTTGCGGAGGCGCAGGCGGTGTCTGCCATTCGAGAGAATCTCAAATATTTCTACAAATATGCCCAGTCAAAGGCCAAAATCAGGGCCTCAGTTTGGCCTCTGAAAAATTACGATGTCCTTGTTGGAGACGACCAGGGCATGTGCGAACTTCTGTGAGCGCAGTTTGAAAAATTAATCAGTGAACCCAGATACTCAAAACAAGACAACGAAATTGGAGTCATTCAAGAACTTCCAGGGGGCGGGAGCTGATGAACATTGAGTTTGAAACGCCGGATCTAGAGAGGAGTATCCAAGAATTGTCGACGTATTTGGCTCCCGGGCCAGATGGGGTCCCTGCAGTGTTACTGAAAAAATGTGTCGGTGCTCTAAAGGTCCCTCTGACTTTGCTCTGGAAAATATCATTGAGAGAAGGAAATGTTCCAAGTGACTTAAAATTAGGGCTAATAACCCCTATCTACAAAGGAGGTGCGAGAGACAAACCCCAAAATTACAGGCCAGTTACATTAACATCACACGTAATCAAAGTATTTGAGAAGGTTGTTGCCAGAAGGTTGGTGCACTACATTGAAGAGGCTGACCTTTTCAACAGAAGGCAACACGGTCTTAGACGAAATCGTTCCTGTTTGTCTCAGTTACTGGAGCATCACCATCAAATCCTGGCCATGCTGGAGGAGGGGGCCGGGGTGGACGTGGTGCATTTGGACTTCGCGAAAACGTTTGACAAAGTTGACCATGGAGTGCTTTTCAGAAAATTAAGACTGCTGGGGTCGGAGATTAATTGCTGGCATGGATCCACAGCTTCCTAACAGAAAGACAACAAGCTGTCCCTGTAGGAGGCTCAAGATCGAGCGAGGCTAGGATGAAGAGTGGCCTAGTGGTAACAGTTCAGAGTACCAAGATTGGCGCAGAGAGGCGCGGGTTCGATCCCAGCTCTGTGCGCCAGTTTCTGATCAGAATCGGCAAGGAGGCCGGGCGGTTAAGCACAGCAGAATTGTAGCAGTGAGTTGCGAGTTCGAGACCGCCAAATGCTGTGAATGTTCTGCGATGTTAAGAATCGGCGACAGGCCTACGGCCTACTAAACGCTGAAACCGCTATTATTATTATTATTATTAAGAGTGGAGTACTACAGGTTACGGTACTTGGCCTAATCCTCTTCCTCATTCACATCGCCGACATAGATGTGGCAGTGAACCACGCCTCTGCATCGTCATTCGCGGACGACACCAGGATACCAATGATCATAACGAACAGGAAGGACTGCCAGAGGTTGCAAGAAGACCTCTCTGCACTATATGATGGGCCCAAGTTAACAACATGCAGTTCAACGGGACCATGTTTGAGGTTCTGAGATACAGAGGTAGCGGAAGAGCTGGTATGGAGCACCGCTACCTAGCACCTGACAATTCTGAAATCGACTAGAAGCGACTCATTCGCGATCTAGGAGTGTTGATGAATACCCAGGTCAATTTTGGTGATCACATAACTGCAACAACCGCAAGAGGTAGGCGACAGATGGGGTGGATCTGGCGGACGTTCAGAAGAAGAGAAGCTGAACCGATGATCAAACTCTTTAGAGCCCTTGTAATATCAATTCTTGAATACTGCTGCCAGCTCTGAACCCCGTTCACACTCGGCGCAGTGCGGCAACTGGAATGTGTCCAGCGAACCTTCACTTCCAGGATCAGAGAGATGGAAGAGTTGAACTACTGGGAGAGGTTGAGGCGCCTGGGTCTGTACTCACTGCAGAGGAGACGGGAGGTATGTCATTCTGTACAAATGGAAAATGATAACCGGAATGGCGCCCAACTTCGAGAGCGAGACCTTCAGGATTGAGATATATCACAACGAGAGAAGGGGGAGACTCTGCAAGATCCCCCCACTACGTAACAGATCTGCAGTCAGATTTCAATCACTACGAGAAAGTTCACTTTCCGTGGCAGGGCCGAGGCTGTTTAACATCCTACCAAAGGATCTAAGAGAGGGGAAGTTCACCCTGGAGACCTTCATGAGACGACTAGACGTGTTCCTGGGCACAATCCTAGATCGACCTTCCCTGCAACACTACCAGCGGCGAGAAGCAAGCAACAGCATCGTGCATCAGGTGGCCCAAATGAGGGCGGATGAGCGATAATCAGAGGGGGCGATCCATCGTGACCTGGGACTGCTACGTCCGAAACAAATACCAAGGATACCAAGGAATTTATCAGCCACTTATACAGTGGTTTAAAAATAGAGGTAAATTATCGCCAGAGGGCAAATAATTTCCAATGCTATTTCAAACAATGTTTGGGGTGATGGAGAGACCACTGGAAACTTTAAATATTTTATGGATGGTGCTGGAAAATAAATCATCGTCAATTGCGGTTGTTGCAATGGATAAAAAAGTAGCAAAATTCAAGAACCACTAACACATTAACACAAAATCGAACGGATTTTCATTTATATTTACGCCAGTATTCATTTAAAGAGACAGACTTACAAAAAGTCAAGAGCATTTTTAGTCCTGTAGGCACCACGCCTTGTGGTGGGCAGCCCGAGAGCGTCTTCGAGCTGACGACGAGATCTGCCCTCGGCGCCCATCAGGGCGAGACTGAGGGCACTCCACACGCTGTAGGGCGACACCAGCAGGTTAGCATCACCGGCGCTTTGTGATGACGTCATCAGCGCGTTGAGTTCTCTGAACAAGCCCAGTCCAAAGATGTCCACTCCTGCGTCGTAACATGCAACACTTTACATTTATGACATACAAATACAAATGTATAGCTAAATTTTCATACAAATGTATAGCTAAACTAACTCCCCATATATAATAATTTAAACTAGAATGCACATGGCATACTTAAATTTAAACCTCGTTGCTTAATATTGGGATGAATTCAGTATACAAATGTTTGGTGAAAAACCCTTGTCATATCTAAACTTTACAGCCATACTAATAGAGATTACCAAAACTCATTTACCATTTTATCTTACATCCGAATCTAATTTTAATACTTATAGAAATTTATTCATCTCTGTAATACCAATCTATCCTTAGGAATACCACTCGGCAATATTAACGTAAGATGAAAAACTTTCTACACAATTCAGGAATGTTCGAGTATGAATTATTCAGTTTTAATTTCGACACAAAATGATTGCAAATGAATTTGTCCATCGAAACTATATCGAATGTAAGATTCATAATAAATACGAGTAATTGATGACATGAAGCATGCTATTTATCGGTCGGTGAATGTCTGTCTGTTTCGCGATAGGAACATTAATTGAAATTTCAATCACCAATGTAATAGCATAAAATAATGTTCAAAAGTGTAGCTTGTACATTGACTACAGTACTACTCCCACAAATACCCATTACATCGCCAGCCAAGTTCCCGCTGTCATTTGCACATTCACGCCCAAACTTCCAACACACAACTTCCTATCGTTTGCAATACCCCGCGCTAACATCAAACACTCAAGTACGTCCCACCATTTGCCCCGACTCACCGGAGAAGTTGAACTCGCTGCTGGTCGAGCCTGTGTCCGGGAAGCACGTGTCTAGAGTGCATGTCGCTGAGCTCATCAATGTCGCCACGACTAACACGACACGCCAAACCACCATGATTATCGGTTAATATTTCTCGTAACAAACTAGCTTCTTAAGGCCCTAGAAAACTGATCTGCTATCAAATACTGTAAAACGGCAGAAAGTATTGTTTGAATAATGCGTTTATAAGGTAAATAAGAAATCCGTGAATTTACCAAAAATAGAACCATTGTAATTCATGTTAATTTAGTCAGCATTTCGGGACCCTTCCCGAATGTACCTCGTGGACCTACTCTTTTTGAGCCCATGCCATCCTACGAAATTGGTGCCAGATGGTCGCTCCGAATGGTACCTATTCACTTTTGGCAACGTAAGGTTTCAGTGAATTGATTTTACAACTGCAACGATTTTATTCGCAATCCAGATACGTGCACAGTATTTGTAGCCATGGAATCTTAAATTACTTGATTTAGTTCTCCACCTGAATCACGAATATTTTTGGCCTAGTTGCTGTTGACAGTAAAATTCGGGGGCCCCCCGGTTTTACCCCGCGCCACTACGCGTATTGATACTTGTATCTTTCATTGCTGTTGACAGTAAAATTCGGGGTCCCCCCGGTTTTACCCCGCGCCACTACGCGTATTGATACTTGTATCTTTCAACTTTATACTCACAACCCAGGAAATCGCGGAATGGGGGGTAAAATGTTGCTTTTTCGGTCATAACTCGGCAACGCCTGCTCCG